CTCACAACGGGAACAGACGGTAAAAGCACAGCAAGGCAAAACAGCAGCACTTCAGTTCACGTAGCTTGGCGCAAAAGGCCCACACTTCCTGCGAAACATAATAAATAATTACTATAAAAGAACAATAGAAGGCAGAGAGCGTAACAAAAGTTGATTACGTACCAAGTAAGCCGTGTCACAGAACGTAAGCAGAATAGCTCAGAGGAGGCTTCTATAGCTACGACCAGCCGCGATGGAGACTTTAGAGGAGTAACCCACAAACGATCTCTACCACACCGAGAAAGTCAGGTGACCAAAAAGGAGATCACAGGCAAGCAATCCAGAGACACTCAAATGGCCACTATTTATACCAGCGCCCCCTAATGGGCCAGGCTGAAAGTGGGTTGGACCGAGGGATAACATTCATCCTGCCACACATGGTTGCAAAGAAACCTCAGGCAAAGTTCCCAAAAGCTGTAAAGAAACAGCAGCTAAAGGAGGCACAAACACAGAACTCTCCGTTGAAAAATGAAGGCTTTGGCAAAAACAAAAAGCCTCGCCCATGGTTCTGCTTTAACTGTGGCGAGGATGGCCATATAGCTCCCTCTTGTGACAATGAGCCGAATCCCAGTACTGTTGAAGCCAAGCGGAAAGAGCTAAGGGTAAAACAAAAAGCTTGGGAAGACCAATGTGACTCTGATTTAAACTAGTTCCTGTTTCAGTTGAGGGACAAACTGGAACTAGAAGCGACAAAAGTCCCACTCAAAACCGCCCAACAAAAAAGTGTTGTGTACGAACAAGTATGCGTCATTCCAGCTTTCCAAAGGGCTTAATTGGCAAGAAGTGCACAGCTAATGTCAACATAGCTGGAGTGAGTTGCAATTCTTTGTTAGACTCTGGGTCGCAAGTAACGACTATTTCACACTCATTTTACCAGAGACATTTGTCTGATCTTCCCATCCAGCCAATCAGTGACTTAGATGTTGAGGGTGCAAATGGACAAGTTGTACCTTATCTAGGGTATGTAGAAGTTCCAATTGGCTTTCCAAAGGAGTTTGTTGAGTCTGAGCCCCAAATTTCTACATTAGCTCTCATTGTCCCTGATTTACGTTCCAGCACAGACTTACCAGTTTTAATTGGTACAAATGCCCTTGATGTTTTATATGAGGAACACTGTAGGGATACTCCTATTTCATCAGCTGTCTATGGCTATAGTCAGATTTTAAAAATCCTTGAACATAGACATGAAACAAAAAGCACAGGAAAGCTTGGACTAATGACACTGAAGGGCAACACACCTTACGTAATACCAGCTCATGAAAGGGTTTGCCTAGAGAGTTACGCCCACCTAAATTCACCAACCACTGACAGATGGGCAGTTGTAGAGCAGCCAACTTCCTCAGCCCTTCCGGGAGGAATCTTTGTCGATTGCTGCCTTATCACAGTGCCACGTCAAAGTCCTTACAAGCATCCTATTTGGATCAGAAACGAAACCGATCATGACATCATCCTTCCTGGCAACTGCGTTCTTGCTGAACTACACATTGCAGACCAAGTCCTTGAAACTCAAACCACGTCGAGTGCAAACTCTGCAGGCTGTTGCAGCCTGTCTGCAGACTCATGTTCATTACCCAGTGACCAGTTGACCTTTGATTTTGGCGATTCACCTCTGCCCAAGGAATGGGAAAGTCGGGTCACGCAGAGTCTTAGTGCCTACCGTGACGTTTTTGCATGCCACGACCTCGACTTTGGCCATGCCACTAAAGTTAAGCATAAGATCAAGCTTAAAGACGAAACGCCTATAAAACAGAGATCGCGGCCCATTCGTCCAAATGACTACGAAGCAGTCAGGAAACACCTTAAAATGCTTCTCGATGCTGGGGTAATAAGACAGTCAGAATCTCCCTTCTCATTCCCCATCGTTGTAGTCAAGAAAAAGAATGGTGAGGTACGCCTCTGTGTGGATTACCGCAAGCTTAATGTGCAAACGGTTAAAGATGCTTACGCGTTGCCAAACCTCGAAGAGACCTTCTCCACCCTATCTGGTTCAAACTGGTTCTCGTCATGGACTTGAAGTCAGGCTATTACCAGATAGAGATGGAGGAGGAGGATAAAGCCAAAACAGCCTTTGTATGCCCACTGGGGTTTTATGAGTTCAATCGAATGCCCCAAGGCATCACAAATGCTCCCAGCACCTTTCAGAGGTTAATGGAGAGGTGTATGGGAGACATTAATCTCAAGGAGGTACTCGTCTTCCTAGACGATTTGATTGTTTTCTCAGACTCCCTCGAGCAACATGAACAGAGGCTAAAGCATGTTTTGGACCGTCTTCGTGAATATGGCTTAAAGTTGTCCCCGAAAAAATGTCGCTTTTTCCAGACATCAGTTAAATATTTGGGCCATATTGTCTCCAAAAATGGTGTGCAGACTGATCCTGAAAAGGTTGCTACTATCAAGACCTGGCCAGTGCCACAAAACTTGAAACAGCTGAAGTCATTTTTAGGGTTCACAGGCTATTATCGTCGATTTGTTAAGGACTATTCAAAGATAGTCCGGCCCTTAAACGATCTCACATGTGGCTATCCACCTCTCAGAAAAGGCCAGAAACAAACAGGCACTTCTAAATATCTCAATCCTCGAGAACCCTTTGCAGACAGATGGACACCTGTTTGTCAGTCAGCCTTTGAATGCATTAAGGAGAAGTTAACATCATCCCCTGTATTGGGGTTTGCAGATCCAAAGCTCCAATATGCTCTGCACACTGACGCTAGTACCACGGGCCTGGGTGCCGCTCTTTATCAGGAGCAGGATGGTAAAATGCGCGTCATTGCCTATGCTAGTAGGGGATTGACACCAAGCGAGACCAGATATCCAGCTCATAAGCTAGAATTTCTAGCTCTGAAATGGTCCATTGTCGAAAAATTCCATGATTACCTTTACGGTAACGAGTTCATCGTTGTAACGGATAACAACCCGCTTACATATATTCTGACCACGGCAAAACTTGACGCAGCGAGTTATCGCTGGTTAGCAGCGTTGTCTACCTTCAACTTCCAAATCAAATACAGAGCTGGGAAGGCTAACCAGGATGCCGACGGCCTATCACGGAGGCCTCATCAAACTCTGGCTGCAGATAGTGTGACATTGGAAGAGGAAAACAGGATTCAACAACTCACCTCACGCCTTCTCGGATCCCTTCCAAGCTCTAACAGTGTATGCCCTGACACTGTAGCAGCTATATGTAATAAGCATCTTCTCAATGAGAACAGCGAGAACTCACCTTGTGTCATTCTGGTTGAGTCCTTGGCTATGAGTGCTGATGCCATTCCTGATGCATACAGTGATGCTGAAACATCTGGTCAAGTAGCTGCTCCCTTGTTTTCTGAGCATGAGCTTAAAGAACACCAAAGATCTGACCCAAGCATAAACCACGTCATTCAGTTACTAGAATCTGGTGCTGATGTTCCATGCGAAAACAGGTCTGAAACATTTGACATAAAACTGATGCTCAGAGAATGGAAACGTTTTGAAATGAGAAATGGCCTTCTGTATAGGAAACGACAGTGTGACTCAGTTACAACTTACCAGCTTGTACTCCCTGTCTCTCTTAGGTCTACTGTTCTCAAGCTGCTCCATGATGATATGGGTCATATGGGGTGGGAGAGGACTCATGATCTAGTGAGGGCAAGATTTTATTGGCCTAAGATGGGTGCTGATATTGAGACTAAAATAAAGAACTGTGGTCGTTGTGTTAGAAGGAAGTCCTTGCCTGAAAAAGCAGCACCACTGGTTAACATCAAAACCACACGCCCAATGGAATTGGTGTGTATGGACTTTCTTTCTATTGAACCCGACAGTAAGAGTACCAAAGACGTGTTGGTCATCACAGATCATTTCACGAAATATGCAGTGGCCTTGCCCACCCGAGACCAAAAGGCAACCACTGTGGCCAAAAATCTTTGGGAAAACTTTTTAGTTCACTATGGGTTCCCCGAACGCCTCCATAGTGACCAGGGGAGGGATTTTGAGTCACATGTTATTAGGGAATTGTGCTCAACCACAGGCATTAAAAAAGTAAGGACCAGTCCTTATCACCCAAGAGGTAACCCCGTTGAGCGATTCAATCGCACCCTGCTTGGTATGCTGGGCACTCTGAAGGATGAGCAAAAGATTCATTGGCGTGATTTTGTCAAGCCTCTTACCCACGCCTACAACTGTTCAAAGAGTGAGGTTACCGGGTTTAGCCCTTACGAGCTAATGTTTGGTCGAAAACCCAAGCTACCAGTCGACCTTGCCTTTGGGTTGCCAGTTACAGGGGACTCACCAACATCCCATTCTCAGTATGTGCGCAATCTGAAAGCTAGGCTTGAGGAAAGTTACCAGATTGCACTCGAAAACTCCAAGAGAGTTGCTGAGCGAAACAAGAACAGGTTTGATAAAAAAGTCAGAGAGTCCACACTTCAAGCTGGGGACAGAGTCTTAGTCAAGAACGTTCGTTTGCGCAGTAAACACAAACTTGGCGATAAATGGGAACACATGGTGTACCGTGTTGTTAAGAAACTGGAAAATGTTCCTGTGTATGTGGTCCAACCGGAGAAGGGTGGTGGTCCGAGCAGGACTCTTCATCGAGACCTTTTACTTGCATGTGGTGATCTCTCAGACATTGAGGATGAGGTTGAGACAAAGCCCAAACCTCCACGTCGACCTAAGACTCGGCAGAGCCCTTCTGAACCTAAAGATACAGAAATGTCAGAGTCTGAGGAGGAGTATGAATGCATTTCAGGTCATCCCTCAATCCAAACCGAGACGTTTATCAGGATTTGTGACCAAACTCAAAACCATTCCAATGTGCAAAATGAGACAACAAGCTCCGAAATTCAAAATGATCCATGTACGCTCGAAAGTGACAACTCTTTGCTTCAACCAATAGAGACAATCTCGGACAAGAATGACCATGGACAGGGAAATCAAACTGAACCTGAACTGCTGAATGAGGGATCTCACTCTAACATCATGGGAGAGAATCATAATGTCCAAGTTCCAGGAGAACCAGATGTTGAGATAGAAAACACAGAGCATAGTGAAAATATCACTGACCAACATGCTGAACAAACACCTGAAATAACTCCTGAAACACCTCAAGTGAGAAAATCTGAGAGATTAAAGCGACCCCCAGGACGGTTTCATTACCCCCAGTTGGGTCAACCCCTTATATCCTTTGCACAACGATTTCTGGATAACTTTAACCAAGCTCTTGAGTCGTTTAGTAGCTATGAAAACACTCAAATCTATGATGTTTAGATACATTTTAAGTACATGAAGGGACTCATGTTTATTCAAAGGGGGAGGGTGTAACCCCTATAGACATGGTTACTAGTATTTTCTTGTTTTTACCTGGTAATATTATTTCCGACACCCCTTGAACACACTTTGATTTTCTGTAGTTCAGTGAATGCAACAAAAGCACGTTGCTGCATTAAGCTAGGCAAAACGGAGCAAGACACCGAGAGCAAATAACAAGCTACACAGTGAGTCTTTTGGTATAAAATAAGTGTTATAAAGTATTTTCAACAGTCTCTAACTTAAAGTTATGTACTTTTCAGAGGCCTTTATGTGTTTTACTCTCGACCAAAACCAGGCAGAGCGTGTATTTGTTTCTTGGGAATTCCGGTGAGTTACTAGAGATGATAAGTTAGCAGGAAAACTTATGCTAATTTTACATGTGGTAAACACTGCAACAGTGCGAATTCCGTATTGTCTAAAAAAAGCTAAAACCAGTCGGAGTACTTGAATCGTGTGTGAAATGGAATGTCGTATTTTATTTTATTGTCTATTTGATTGGGCATCTTCACAAATGTGCAAAACTAATGCAGGATGCACTTCTCTTTTAGCCATAAATGTTGTCCAGTGCCTTTTCTGCACTTTGTCATTTCAGTTATAGGTTAATACATGTAAATAAGTTATTTAAAACTAGTTACATTACAAACATTTCATGATGTGATTACATATGCCTTAAAAAGGGGTATTTAAATACAATTGATTGTAATGCTGTAAAGCAATACAAATGGAATTCATAGAGACAGAACAATGTTAAAACGACAGTGTACTTGATTTTGAAAACTTTATGAGATCTCATTTTATTTAGAAAAACTGTTAAGAACTATTCTGTTTATTGCTCTGTACTGTATGTGCAGACTGGTTTTTTGTGATCCTGGATCTGAAGTGGTTCTGGATATGGATGGCGAGCCAGACCCTGTGAAAACTCTTGGCGAATCCAAAAGCAGTGTGGCCAGCTGTTCTGGATGCAGGAGTAGAGCTACAGTCTGAATTACTTCGAATCGCAGGATTTCAGATAAGCAAGAACAAAAACTGCTTACTTCATACGGATTGTTTCTCTGGGAAACACTTGAACTCCCAATATCCTGCTCATCAGGAGTCAGGTCTAAAGAGACTACTTATTTTATTTTATTTTGTTGTTATTTTCAAAAGAGCGCTCTTCTCTGTTGATCTTCTGTTAATTTTCTATGCTGTTTACATTGGATTGTTGCACCACTGTAACATTGTAATAAATCTGCCGGCTGTTCAACACTCAATTCTCTCAAATTTATTTTACTCCTCTCGAATCTAGTCTATAAGTTTAACCCTACTATACTAAGCAGGTGTTACACAAGCATTTTCAAGGATTTCAAGTACTCGTACCAACCCTGTCTACCGTAACCAAATTCCTTGTATGTGTCTGCACATATACTGGGCCAATAAACATGATTCTGATTCAGAATCCTTGTTGTTTTATGCTGAGAAGATTAGTAAAACTTCACTTTAACTTAAAAATTACTAAAAATGGTACGAAACACAGTAAATTGATAAAGTTTACCTTTACTGGTTAAATTGCTTGATTTATTTTCACAGTTAAAAAATAAAACAAAACAAACAAACAAAAGAAAAAAGAATAAAAATTGATCTGACCTCAGGATATTCAGTTTGGCGCGTGGACTCTGCACTACAGCAGACAGAAGCTTTACTGCTGAATGCTTGAGGCTGTTGGTACTTAGGTCCAGCTCTCTCAGACTACAGGACTGGGAGCTGATGACTGACAACAAATGCTCACAGTCTTCCTCTGACAGGTTACAGCTGCTCAGCCTGAAAAAAATAACAAGAACAACAAAACAATAATATTTATTATCGAATAAAATCTCTTTATATGTTGAACCCAAGTAATCAAATGCGTACAAAGTACAAGTACGCTACAATGCACAATTAAATAAAAAATGTTAAAGAATGTAAGTGTAACAGAAGAAAAATATTTCAAATTAAACACAATTATTCCAATGTATGTAAATGGAAACCAGTGAAGTACAGGTTAATTTAATGACACTAGTTTAGTGTCTGCTGACACAGGCCTGTGAGTTATACAGTATTACAGTTACTACAGTACTGCTGGTCACTTTATTAATTCTAATATGTGTGAATGTAGTTGTAAATAATGTATCACATCCTAGACTTGGTGCAGACTCTCATTTCATTTTCTGTCTAAAAGCTGCTTTTCTAAAAGCTCCCCTTTAAAGCCCCGCTCTCCCTAAAGGCCAACTTAATTTTAATTGGATGATTTCATAAAACATCCTGAAGAGCAGCAGCCAGTCATCATGAGCTGTCCTCCACCTTCTGGTTTAGAAATTCTAAAAAACTGTTAATCTCATAAATACTTGTCTTGATGCATGCTCAGTCATCCAGGTTAGTAAATCTCAAAAGTTGAATCTGTTCATCTGGATGTAGCGTTTTGTGGGAGAAACGTTTCGTCACTCATCCAAGTGACTTCTTCAGTCTCAGCTGACAACAGGTTTCCAACCCTATAAACAGTACATTTGCGTAATGACTGAAACCAGCCCACTGAAGGAACAATGGGCTGGGAGGTCAGTTCCTTGACCATTAATAATAATAATAATAATGGATTGGATTTATATAGTGCTTTTCAAAGCGCTTTACAATTCCACTATTCATTCACTCTCACATTCACACACTGGTGGAGGCAAGCTACAGTTGTAGCCACAGCTGCCCTGGGGCAGACTGACAGAAGCGAGGCTGCCATATCGCGCCATCGGCCCCTCTGGCCAACACCAGTAGGCGGTAGGGTAAAGTGTTTAGGTTTCAGTCATTATGCAAATTTACTTTTTATAAGATTGGGGAAAGCTGCAGTCAGCTGAGCCTAAAGAAGTCACTTGGATGAGTGACGAAACATTTCTCCCACTGAAAGCGCTACGTCCAGATGAACAGAATCAAACTGTGGGGGCTCATAAAAACATGATTAGAAATAAATCTTCTCAGATGTATTTTTACATTTTAGATCAGGGGTGCTCAATACGTCGATCGCGATCGACCAGTCGATCGCAAAGGTAGTATTGGTAGATCGCATGGCATTAAAAAAATAGATGCCAGCCTATCATCCATCCCGTCACTTGATTGATACAGGGAAGCCAGTCAGATGACAGCAGATTTTTTCTGACGCTTAGGTCGCTGCGCATGCGCAAACAGCGGCGCGAAGTGTAGTAAAACTGACAAGCTAGTCAGCGAGTTAACTCCAATTTTTAGCTCTCGGTTTTTTCTCTTAAACCTGGCCGTCAGCAGCTACTGTCCGGACTATGCATCCCTGGCTGATTCAATTCAGTGCAAGTCATCAGAGTAAACTCAGGTAATGACAAAAAATTTACATAGTTAATTGTGTTGTGAAATATTGGATATTGCGGTTATGCATGTATATACATTGTAGATATAAAGAATCCTCAATATATTTATAAATAAGTATATGTTTTGGATTTTTGTAGTGGGTAGATCATTTTGACTTGGTCATTTTATAAGTAGCTCACATGCGGAAAAAGTGTGAGCACCCCTGTTTTAGATGCACAGCAGCAAAGTTCACAGCAGGACGTCTCTGTTCAGTAATTCTTATTCCCGTAAACACTAGCTGTCTGAAACTTGTCTAGAAACCTTGGACACTGGCGGGTTTCTCTTGCTTACCTATCTGCTCATCCTCTTTCTTTCTGCTCGCATGATGATTTCCTGGTTGAGTTTGTGAAGACTTTTGCTCACCCCATTTCCGAGGGTAGTTTAGGGAGAAAGTTACTGAATCTCCGGCAGGGCCGTTACAGTGTGGCCAATTATGATTTCCCAACAGGTACTGCTGAGGCAGGCTGGCCGGATCAAACTCTGCAGGGTCTGTTTTTTCCATCCATCTGCTTCCACTTATCCTTTTCAGGGTCACGGGGGGCGCTGGAGCCTATCCCAGCTGTCATAGGGCGAGAGGCGGGATACACCCTGGACAGGTCGCCAGTCTGTCACAGGGCAAACACATAGAGACACAGACAACCATTCGCTCTCACATTCATTCATACATTTACACCTACAGTGGGGCAAAAAAGTATTTAGTCAGCCACCGATTGTGCAAGTTCCCCCGCTTAAAATGATGACAGAGGTCAGTAATTTGCACCAGAGGTACACTTCAACTGTGAGAGACAGAATGTGAAAAAAAAAATCCATGAATTCACATGGTAGGATTTGTAAATAATTTATTCGTAAATTAGGGTGGAAAATAAGTATTTGGTCACCTCAAACAAGGAAAATCTCTGGCTCTCACAGACCTGTAACGTCTTCTGTAAGACGCTTTTCTGTCCCCCACTCGTTACCTGTATGAATGGCACCTGTTTGAACTCATCATCTGTATAAAAGACACCTGTCCACAGCCTCAAACAGTCAGACTCCAAACTCCACCATGGCCAAGACCAAAGAGCTTTCAAAGGACACCAGGAGAAGTATTGTAGACCTGCACCAGACTGGGAAGAGTGAATCTACAATAGGCAAGCAGCTTGGTGTGAAAAAATCAACTGTGGGAGCAATCATCAGAAAATGGAAGACATACAAGACCACTGATAATCTCCCACGATCTGGGGCTCCACGCAAGATCTCATCCCGTGGGGTCAAAATGATCATGAGAACGGTGAGCAAAGATCCCAGAACCACACGGGGGGACCTGGTGAATGACCTGCAGAGAGCTGGGACCAAAGTAACAAAGGTCACCATCAGTAACACACTACAACGGCAGGGAATCAAATCCCGCAGTGCCAGACGTGTTCCGCTGCTGAAGCCAGTGCATGTCCAGGCCCGTCTGAAGTTTGCCAGAGAGCACATGGATGATACAGCAGAGGATTGGGAGAATGTCATGTGGTCAGATGAAACCAAAGTAGAACTTTTTGGTATAAACTCAACTCGTCGTGTTTGGAGGAAGAAGAATACTGAGTTGCATCCCAAGAACACCATACCTACTGTGAAGCATGGGGGTGGAAACATCATGCTATGGGGCTGTTTTTCTGCCAAGGGGACAGGACGACTGATCCGTGTTAAGGACAGAATGAATGGGGCCATGTATCGTGAGATTTTGAGCCAAAACCTCCTTCCATCAGTGAGAACTTTGAAGATGAAACGAGGCTGGGTCTTCCAACATGACAATGATCCAAAACACACCGCCCGGGCAACAAAGGAGTCACAAGTCTCTCAGAAGTGAAAACTCACTCTCTTTCTTTCTTACACTCGCTCTTGCCTGTGTCACTCCTAAAACTTCCCCTTTTCCTAAACAACCAAATGTCACGTTTTAATATATTTTTTTGATTGTTTGACACAAACAGGTGTTTTTTTTTCCTTTTTTTGCTTACAGGCAGAGAGTTTTTGCTAGCGCCATTTTTACTGTCTCTCCCTGTAGTAAATGCTTTGATAGTGTGAGTACAAGAACATAATATGATGTGTTAAATTTGTTTAGATCAGAGGAACAGGGAAGGATTTGTTTGTCTGTGTTTTAGTTTGGCTTAGCTGTAGTTCTGAGTGTGTGTAATTGTTTAGAGAGAAAGGAATTTATGGAGACTGGGGGTCTGCCTGCCATAAAAGGAGACAGGAAGCTACAGTTGGGGGTTGCTGATGCTGATGCTTGTACCTTTAATAAAACTCATAATTGTTATAAACTTGGAAGCAGGTTTGCAGGAGACTCTCCACATGCTTATCTGTAAATGTAAGACAATAAGAGGCCAATGGCCCAGTGGATGCAGAGTGGGAGTCTATTTTTTTAAATATGTTAACTCTGTTTTGTATGTTGTCTAAAGGAATTTGGTGTAGCTTAGGTGAGGAGATTACTGTTATGACCATCAAGAAGTCACCTACACAGAGACACACACACACACACACACAGTGCTTAAACTGTTACACTCACACTCACTGGCGTGCACTCACATAGATATATGGGTACGCACACACACAGGCACTCACGTGCTCGTGCATACACACACAGACACAGAGTTTTCAGCATGGGGGTTTTATGATGGGGTC